AAAAAATGCCATTAAAAAAAATAAAGAATATTATTTTGCAAAAAAAAAAAAAAAATTCTTGTAACAGTCACACTCAGAAAACTGAGGCCCAAAACACAGTGTATTATAGCACTTACTAAAACCATTGTGTATAATGAAATCATCCAAAGGTACAGATATAATTGAGAAAACAATAGGGCTCCCTGTTTGATACAGGTGTTATAAATCCTAGAGATCAAAGTATGGCTCACAATTTTATCAGTGTGTAAAAGTATCCAAGACATATTCAAAACCAAACAGATAAATATCTATAGTTACTCACTGTACAAGTCTGAAGAGTTGCTGTTTCTCTAGGCAGCATAAAAGCTGATGCTGTGATGCCTGACATGGTTTCAGCTGTTGCCAGTCCATCAGAAAATGTTGTAGTCAAGCCATAAAGTGGTTTGGTAGACACATAGGCAAATGAGGAAACCGATGGAGCTGTTGTGTCATTTGGATGGTCAGCTATCATTAATAGCGAACTCACAGAAGGCGTTTGCACTTCAGATGATATTTCAAGTTTTGAAGTTTGAGTAGTACTGACCGATGATGCAGCTACAGAAGAAAAAGGTTTTGGTTCAGAAGATGAATGTATAGCGGACAGTACTGATACACTTACATCAGAAGGAACTGCCGTTGTGTTTGTGAAATACGGAGAGTAAAATGTCTGAGGTGTTTCTAGGGTAGTGGTAGCACCTTGAGTATGGACAGCTTGGACTTCTGTTGTTAATTCTGGCTCTTCAGATTTTACTGTATTGAGGGGCATGGCTCCTTTTGCTTCTGAAGTAACAGAAAAATAGGTGGGCTTCACAGAGCTTCTGATGGATTCCGTTACTGCTTCTGCTTTGTCCGAAGTTGCTGATACAATACTAATATTTTGCCCGGTACCACTTATCATTGAAGAGGCTGAAGCTGCAGCTGATGAATAGGCCATGGCTGACAACATTGTACTTGCTAGAAACGTGGAACTGTAGGCAGTGGTTGAAAGCGTGACGTGCTTAGGCAACGCTGAAGTTTTCTCTGTACCACTTTTACCCACTGATGTGGATGGCCCACTGCTCATCATGATGGGAATTTCTGTTGTTTCTGGTAACAAAATCAATGAAGAGGTTGACTTAGATTCTGGTGAAGATGTAGTTGTTTCAAGTGTTTGACTTGAATCAAGTGATTCAGTAAACGAGGCCTGCCATGTGAATTTTAGACCAGTACCTGCCTTTTGCGTGGAAAATGAAGGAAATGTTTCTTTTTTAATTGTTGCTAAAGAAGAGGAAGCTGCAAGCACTTCTGCTGAGGAAGGGAGAACGCTGGTGCCAAAAATCAAGTCAGCTGTTGTTCTAGTTGGGACTGTAGACTGCAAAACAGAAGTTCTTGATACGTATGGCTGCGTGACTGAATCAGTTAAACGCAACTCTTTTCCAGTTGGTAAAATAACTTGTGGAGGACCTACTGAGGTAGGTAATATACTTGAATGAATGCCTTCAGGTAGTGAGGTGATTAAGGGGTATGAGGAAGTCAATTCTACTGTAGCTTCAGTTGTGCTAAAGACATGTTGTGGCTGACCAGTGGATTTTGTTGGAGTTTCTGCAGGATACTGGTAAACTGGGGTACTGCTTTGGCTTGTCAATGAAGGCTCAGAAGTCTGATGACCAAGTTCCATAGCCTTCTGAGTAGAAAAATGTGGTAGAGCCATGGTCTTTGTGGCCTGTACTGAAAGTTTATCTCCTGAAGATGTCTGCCAAGAGAAGGGGCCTACTGAAGATGAAGGAAAGGACAGCTGAGCTGTAGCTGCTGTAAGTTTTACTGTATCTGTTATACTTTGGACTGTAGATTTCAATGCTGTAGAAACTGCTTTAGTTTCTACTGAATATTTTGGTGTTGTTGTTACTTCTGGTATCATTTTTGTTAAAGAAGGTGAAGAAACCGATCTATCTGCTAGATACTGAGAGGTGGAGAAAATGTAAGACTCCTCTGTTACTGGAAGTTCAACAAAAGGGGACAGAGTTGATTTTTCTTTGGCTGTCATTACTTTTTTGGTTGCTATGATCTGACTGCTGAATTCAGAGGATGGGGAGAATGTGGCAGAAGTGATATTTAAAATGGCTTTGCCTGGCGATTTGTCATGTGATACTGTTGTTATTGGACTTAATTGTTCTGTTACAGTGGATGAAGTAGAGAAAGTCAGGACTGGAGAGGTCTTTTCTGTTGGTAACACAGATTTTGCTATAGTTGTTCTTGGATATAAAGAGATTGTTTCATGGGATGTATGCACGGGACTGAGAGCTGTCAGTGATGCTTCTTTTCCATATGAGGGTAGTGAAGGAAGAGAAATGTTTAAAGAGATTAGAGAACTTGATGGTGAAGAAGGCAAAGCAGATGGCTTTCTAGTAGAGATGCTAGTAATTCTTTCCACTTGTGATTTATCAGGCTGTGTTGTCAACAATGTGGTTTCAGTTGCACTAAGGAGAGTAAGTGGAGATCCAGTGACGGATGTTCTTTGAGCTGACTCTCTTTCTGTAGCTATGAAAGGAAATGTCGTGGTTTCTTTTAATGAGGTAGAGGTTTTCATTGCTGATGTGGTAACACTACCTGAATATGCTGAAGTGCTTGTCTTTGCTGTACTTGAAACCAGAGTTGACTTGTATTCAGTAGGTGTTTTTCCAGAAAACAAAGTTGACTTGGCTGCTAATTCAAAAGGGGATGTTATTTTGGATGTTACCTCAACAGACAGAGGTGTCACTCTGATAGTCTCGGCCACAATGGGATATTTAGTGTATAATGTAGTCAGGAACTCTGTTGTGTTTAGAACTACGTATGAGGGATATCCTGTAGTTGAAACAGTTTTGAATGTTTTTTTTAATTCACCTGAAGCTGGAGAAGCAGGAGTAGGAACAGACATTGAAGGTCTTTTTGTAGAAAGAGTGATGGATTTTTCAGTTGTAGAACTAGGATGTAGTGAATATGGAGGGAAATAGGAACTTGATGTATGCTCCACACGAGATGTTGCTTTGGGAGTTTCCTGTTTATGAGTTGTAAATGATAACAAAGTCATTTCTGATGATCCCTCTTGAGTTTGCAGAGTTGTTGTCTGTGGACCTAGAGTTGTAGTAAAAGGTACCTCTGCAGTACCAGTCAGGTGTTGAACCATTTCAATAGGAGGTTCTGTAATTACCTTTCCAAATGAAATAGGTGGTGTGGGTGTTGCTGAAAATGCAGTCTTTACGCTTTGTTCAGTTGAAACAATTGCTGCTTTTGTTGTTGCTGAAGACTCTGGTTTTGCTAAAGACAAAGTAGTGATCACAGGAGAAAATGATGTTACTGTAACATTAGCTACTGTGGTAAATGACTGTTCTATGCTTATTTTTGTCCCTTCTGAAGTTCCTGTTAGCTTTACCGGTGGTGTATATGAAGGCATGCCCAGAGGTGGTGATGAGGAAAACTGGGGCAAATATGCAGTAGTTTTTTCTGTTACTGATTCAAATGAACTGGGTGTAAATGTTGTAAGTCCTTCTGGTTTTCCTTGTGCTTCTTTTGTGGGAAGTGTTCTTGTGGCTATTGCTGATATTTCCATTATTTTAGTTTTGACTGGTATTTCTGTTGTTCTAAGTGTAAGTGGTGTCCCAGTAACAATAAAAGTAGAAATTGGTTTGCTTTCTGATTCTGTGCTTGTGGTCACTGCATGTGTAGCAGTTACTGTCTGAGGTTCTGTAGCCCTCAATAGTTTAGTGGAACTACTACTGATCGGTTGTATCTTTATGGAAGTTTCTGAACTGATAGTGGATGGAAACAGTGGAGACATATCAACAGGAGAAGACAAGCTTACATTAGATTTTGTTGTCCTGGACATTGCTGTAGTGCTTCTCCCAGATGTCATTTCTGTTGACTGTGAAGAAATATTTGATGATAAAGTTATGGTTGGAAGTGTTGTATTAGATGTAACAGCTGAAAATTCAGTTCTCCCTGTAGTTGCAGTGAGTTGCAATTTTGAAGCAAGTGTTGTTTCCATGTCCTCTGCTTCAGGTACAGGAAATGAAGTTACCACTTCACTGATCACTGCCAAACTTGTACTTGATGTTATGTGTGAAACTGCTGGTGTTGGAATGCTGGGTGGCAAAGGTGCACTATCATCTGCAGGTTCAATGCCTGAAATCAGACATGAATAAATAGTAGTCTGAACTTTATGAATAATTAGTCATGAAGCTAGCAGAGCTAGAAGGAAGTTATGTTAACTCATGTAACTCTGATCTTTTCAATTGCCTTTAAACTTCTAAAATTCATAGACAAATTAAAAAAGAAATTCATTAAATCATTTGCTCCACATCTAATGATACTGAAATGTTTTATGAAGAACAAACATCTTTCTTACCTTAAAATTTGTCTCAGATTTTCGAGGAGTGAAATTATTTTATTTTAACTAAAATGTACGTTTAGTGAGCTCAAGATTCATATAACTAAGTTCATAGTCACACAAATTTAAGCACCAATATTTGAAAATCTGACTAAAGACCTAAGAAATTAATAAGCTAAGTATCATACATAATACATATAATTTTTCAAACATACAGTCTTCAAAATACACGCATCTTTGAGTGACTTCATCCAGCAACATATTGAGAGGACAGGCAGGGATGCATCCTTCCACTCTAAAAGAAAAAAAAAAAATCATTATTAACTAGTTGAGCAGTATCTTCTGGATCGAGCATTGAATTTTAGGAAAACAGAATTTATTTATAAAGTATTTTTAAGTAGACAGTCTTGTTCTTTCTAAATCTCATCACCTCAGTGTACTCCTTCAAAACATCATTGCCATGGCTTCCATTTTCACTCAGACCTAAGCTATAGCATGAACTCCGCAATACTCAGCCTTTGAAATGAACAGTCGCAAGTTCAATACTGAATGTTATTGCTTAAGAAATGCCAAACATTTTTACACACCAAAATCCAAATGCCAGTTTTACCAGACATAGCACAAATTCCAATTGGGAGGAAAAGGCAAGAACAGATATAGCTGTTGCAATGCCATTAATAAAAAGCAGGGGCACAACTATTTGAAACAAACTTGTAATCACCTCTCTTTATGAATACTCTATAATATGCCCCCAGCTTGAAAGTTACAAATATACTAGTCATTCCAGAATCTGACAATACTTACCTAATGACTGAAATGTCACTTTCATGTAGCTGCCACAGCAGGCTTTATTCCATTTCTTTTCTCCTTCACTTACCTCCTTATACAAGAACACAGTCCTGCTATATTGAGCCTACATCTGGTCCCTCATATTCTTACTATGCTGCATAAGTATGTTACCCAAATTACATGTTTTTCCATAAAAATACAGATACTTACTTTGGTACTGCCTGACAGTTTTTTGCCAAAGGGTCCCTGCATGTCTTGAAACAAGGGCTTGTACAGGCATCATAATGCCATTCACACGCAGAACGGGATAGAAATTTAAATTTGACATCTGAAAAACAAGGATCTGTTATTCTCATCTATTTCTAGAAATACACACAGATACATATCACTAAGAGGTATGCTTTAAGTTCACTGCAGCTCTAAATCTCATACTGTTTCTACCTGTATTCTCTACAAATAAAATCAGTAATATTTTTTGAACTGCCAAGGTCTTTAAAACATAGAAAACCAGTTTACTTTTATGCAGAGTATGTTAAAGAGTGCTGGCTCTGCAGCCTGTTTTACTCTTTGCAGTATAAAACATGACATTGAGTTAGCCACATTTACAGCATATTACAATCATTTGAAAATAAAGCCACGCAAGTTAGAGCTGTTGTTTTTAAGTTTTAAAAACCATATCAACAATGAAACGATATGTTCAGTTATTCAAACAAAATGCAAAATTAAGATTATGTTGGTTCAGTACAATTATTACTATTAAAATAAAAAGCACCAACTGGATACACTGATACTCTTTATAACATAATGTATCTTAACAGTTGTTTACTTTGTGTGTAAAATTTCCTGATATAGCACAAAGGTGTACATAACTTGTATGATGCAATTGTATTTTAAAAGCCAAACCAAACACCATTCCAAAAAAAGTGATCAGAAATTATGCTAATTTAGGCTACTTAAAGCAATATATCTTAACAGTTGATCTTCTCAAAGGCAGTATAAGATAGCCACTCCAAGAGAAATTAATTCAAACCTCGACACATTTTGAACCTGAAATTCTAACTGCTCCTACAATGAAGAAAGCAACTCAGACAAGAGATGTAGTCTTGCAAAATTTAACTCAAAACATATACTTCACCAGACAAAATAGTACCAATAATAAAACACTATGGCAAATTAAATAAACAAACAAAATCTCCAAACCGCCTTCAGAGTATCTATGCAGATAGTGTTTACTGAAAGACTTCAAATCCACATAATTGAAACCCAAAGTACAAATTCAGATAGAGGAAGAGTTAAACTTCAAAGTGAGACTAAACAGAAATAAGGATCAGCTATACTTCCCACGCTTATTAAATTATGCATGAACTTTACAAAATTAATGTAAAGAAGAAATAGATTGAGTATAAAAACTGAAACAAATTTGTGGCAATCATCATGTGGGTGATATGCACCTGCATGTTCAAATGCAGTATCATGCTTTCTTTTCCGCTACAACCCTGCCCCATCTGCATGCAGAACGGTTTCCCACACAATACTAGAGTAGCCCACTGGCTCTACCTATGCCTCCCTGACTTAAGCAATATATCTGGATTTCAGTACCTGAACTGCAACAGCCCACCCCAGCTCCTTCCTGTAGCAGTCAGGGCAGGGCAGTGACACTTCCCTTACGTTGATGCCTACAGAAGACCACCTTCATGGCATATGGGTCCCCTCTAGATTGGTAAACCTGATCTTAGAGCTATGTTGTTCAGAGCCCACAAGGAGTAGATGCTCTTAAACAATGTTTACATTAATGACCAGAAAGAAAACGCTTACTACTTAGAAAAAGGTTACATTTTTGGTCTTTTGAAGTCTTTTTGCTTTAAGTTTTGATCTTTGCTTGACTGAGATACAAAGAGAGTAGCTCTTTTACATCTTCTTGGAGACATTCAATTTTTCCATGAAGATCCTAAGAAATCGTTCTTCCTGCAATTCAGGGACCTCTGCAGTTACAGGTAATTATCTCTCTGCCATTATTAACCATTAATGTCTTCTTTTTTAATACAAATAATTCTCTTAAATCAAAGGTATAAATCAAACTCAGACAAAAGAGTGAGTACGTTGCCACCTAGTGTTATCCTTCTTACATGTCACTCTATCTAAGGACGTAACTTACCACTGCTTTTGAAAACATGATTCTTATGACAGTAACAAATGCGTTTATAAAGCTACATTCCCATAGAAAGCTAAGTACAAGTCACTGAATTCTTCTGTGACCCCTTCTAGTGAAACCAACCTAAGTTGCTTAAATCTAATGGAGGAAGGGAATTATTTCCATACATTTTGCTGACTGATGTATGAGGTTTGGTATAGCACTGACAGGTCAGAGTGGCAAGGTTTAAGGACAAAGGAAGAAGATATTATGACAAAAAGAACATATCAGAGACCTGTTGGCACAGGCAATCACCAACAGTAGTAATAACCAGCAATAACAGTATATCTGAGTGGAATCTAGGAAATCTCATTTTCAGACAACCCTAGATTAAGTATGGAGACAGATCCATAACTTTTTGACTCTTGCTACAAACATCACCATTAATCACAGAAGAAGTTTCAAACACAATAAAAGCACAAGCTTTGCAGAACACATGCTGTAACCTGACGAAGAATGTTAGTTTCTCAATTTAGCAGAGCAGAACAGTGATCGTGAATTAACACTTCCAAGTGCTGGGATTAACATACCATCTCCCATTCTCCAAATAAACTTAGACTTTTATGAAATGATTGCCACGTTTTCCTCAAGCTTTCCTACAGATTAAGTTCACAGAGCTTGCTGGTGTTGCATGCCTTGGGAGGAAATAGGGCGAATTTCTACATAGCTGCATAGCATTTGTTGAGTGGTTCATAAACATCGCTTTCAGTCAAGAATGAACAAAGTCATGCTTGTCTACAAATTTTGTCTCTACTTCTGCAGAAAGAAGTATGGACAACAGATGAATTCATTAACCTGGTCGTAAAAACTGTTTTCAAAGAAGAGCTGTAGAACCAATGGGCATTTAGTTTTCCAGTCAAGGGATTTTAGCGAATTGAGTATGCCGGGCCAAGACGTACTAGGTTTTTTTAGTGTGTAAATTACATAAAAGAATAGACCAAATCACCACAGCAAGAGTTGAATATATTGCATGAATTAGTTTCCAGTATCTCAAAAGTTTTCAGCATGTCTCAGTAAGCCCATCAGATATAGTGAAATCTGTGCTTTATTATGAATTATGGGAAAATGCCCTTCCAGCATTAGGAGAATGTCAGTTCAGTCATTTATCATAGTTAAAGTTTTCACTATTGGCAGCATCACTTCTGGAATGCCTAAGCAGCCCAAGGACCTAGCTGATTGACTGTGCAAGCCACTGCAAAAAAAAAAAAAACCACAGCAAGATGCAGTTCCTGCTTAAAAAGTTTAAACTAATAGAGATTAGACAGAAAATGAAGGGGAGGAGAAAGAGAGGCACAGAGCTATGTTCTGAACTAACATAAATTCAAGAATAAGCCAAGAGTACAATAAAGCATCTCTATACCTAGCTAAAATAATAGATTATTTTGCCTCTTTTTAGTACATCTGTATATTAACTATGATCCCAATACCCACAATCATTAGGGCATAAGAAAAAGCAGTAACAAAGTGCTTTCAAGCATCCCTCTCCCTAAACTGAGGGAAGTACTCCTTTCCCTCTCTGTATTGATTTTAGACATTAACTTCCACGCCAGACCAAGCTCAGCTTCATTTTTACAACAATGCTGCTATTCCCATGACAGAAACTACCACAGCTCAGAAACTCTGGATTTCACCAGTGTCATGGCACAAATGCTTTATGGTAGCCAGGATGCTCATCGGCCACCTCCACTACATGCTTCCCATTTTTTTAATACTTAAATTCCCCCTCCAGCAACCAGTAATAGGAGCTTACTGTACTCTTGCAACAGTACAGCTCACTCACAACAAAAGAATGATACACAGTTTACAGACAATGAGTCAAGCTTCTTATATCAGGCATGTGTTCCTCAAAAGGATTTGTCATGGCATTTGAAAATAGCTGTGTCTCTCCCGGTGAAGTCTACCAGCATTTGTCTTCTGTTTGGTGACACAGCAAATCCTTCGCAAAATGGTAAATTATGCCCTGTGTGACAGTTGCTCCAGTTGACATGCCAGAAGAGCCCACAGTTCTTTTACCTAACAGGAGCTGAGCATATCGACGTGTTACAGTACTGCAGAAAGCTTTTATATGTATGCAGGTATACATGTTGCCAAAGACAATATATTAAAAGATATTCTCCAACTCCATTGACTTCCTTGGACATCAGAGAAGCATTTTGTTCCCTGTAACTCCTTATTTTCATTCTTCGTGGCTTTCAAAAATAATTCTGTGCTAATGAGAACCGTTGCTACCATTTAATGAAGAATCTTAATTTTTTATCGCTGACAGACTGCAGTGTTCTGTTGAGTCACAACAACCTTTCTTAGTAACTTGGCCACTTTTTTGTGTGTTGACAATTCCTACTGCTCACAAGTCCATCCTGCCTTTTTTTACTATGCTGACTTTTACCTCATAGGGACAAAATTTGCCATTCTCAGAACATGCATATTATGAATGATTTCATGCTATGCTCAAAAAATGGCTATTTACTTTAAAAAAAACCTGAAATTTGAAATGTTCTAGTGTTAATAAAAGGTTGTATTTAAAATAAAAGTTTTTAAAATAATGAAAAAATTAAGTATTTGGATTTTCATTCTCACCTGACACTTTTTACTGTTTTGCTACTGTTCCCAAATATTTCAAAAAATCTAGTAGGAACAAGATTTGCTTTAGAATTAGTTCTATTTATAATGGCAGCAAAACTCTGCTTAGTAATGTAGATTGCCTATCTCCTCAGTTACAAGTTTAGAAACATGAAATCCTATCTACGCACTTAACACACGCAAACTACTAACAAACTCTGCCCATGACTTCTAAGTTTCTGCAATGAGAAACGTAAGCAAATATCACTGGAAAAATTGAACTTTGTGCCCAGCCAAAACATCACTGAAAGCAAAGTATAATTATCTATGTCTCAAATACTTTTGTTTTAGTTTACTGTTACGGTGTTAGATGAATATAATCTTGTTAACGTACCTATTTAGTCTCCTCCTATTTATTCAGTCAAAATGGGAGGTCAAATGTTTGTGGTATAAATAGGAAAGATGTTATAGTTCTACAGTAACCTCAGTCTGATTCTAAGAGCTACCAAGCAGTTGTGTTCAGTGACATATCGGGGATTTCAGGTACAACAGCAGTTGCTCAGCATTATCCAGTCCCAGGCCCCATATCGTGATCTTTTGGGCTGACAAAGCATACAAGCTCAAATTAAAATTAAGAGCAACTCATTATAAGTAAAACAGGACATTCTGGAAAATTAATTCTACTAATGGAAATGGGTAAGAGTAAGTTGAAGTTAAAATAGTCAAAAATATCATGTATAAATCTGACTTAAGATGCAAGATGCTTTTGTAAAAAATGTTTTTCATTAAAATTAATTTCATTTTCAGTTTTGTACTAATGTTTCTGAATGTGTTTCAGTTAATTAAGATACAAACATTAAAAGCAACCAAAAATGCCCTGTATCAAACTTAAACATTGATGAATACCTCTGTGCAGTGTGCATATGCTTAGTATATCTTGAGATATTAATTTTAGCTGAAAATTCTCTCTGAGACAAGCCTTATATTTACAGCAAGTTAGCTATTAAACCACATAACTAACATTAAGAACTTTGCTGCAGTATTTATATAGGGCAAGCCACATTTTTATAATATATATAAAATTAATTCACAGTGATCTTAAAAAAGTTAAGCATATTATGATAATTCTATGAAAGGTGAAAAGTAACTAACCTGAGCACATTATTTTAAAAAAGTGTAAGAAAATTGCAGTTATATCCATAACAAGACCATTGATTCCCTACATCCACTGATTTCCCAACAATTTCAAACATGAATTTATTGCTCTTACATGACAGCTCTGTGCTTGTCCATCTGGTAAGACTAAGTGTATTCTTTCTTTTGACTGAATGCATACCAATCCATTGCCGGTAAAAATTCCTGCACAGAATGCAAAATGTATTTTCTTGTAAGTATAATCTAGATATTCAAATTCAGTTATCAACTCAAACTCTCAAATGTTTGTGGGAACAGGACAGCAGACAAATCTAAGTATAATGAAAATAACCCAATTTAAAGTTGAAGTCACTTCTCATGGAAAATACTTTGCAGTGTTAGCCCATCATATCTGCGCAATTTATAGTCAAAGTATTTCAATGCGACAATATTTATTGCTATGAAACTGGAAAAAGTGACTTGTCAGCTGACTTTAAACAAACATGTATCTATTGCTGTGGTGATCAGGTCATTTAAAATTCTTCCTTCTCAATGTGCGTCACAGAGTATGAAGAAGTCTCATGAGGAACTTTCTGGCCAAGGGGATTTACTGGGCCTATTATTCTGCTCCCGATATTTATCCTCTGATTCCGCAGGAATAGCTGTTCCCGGTTCAAGAGTTTCTGATCTAATATGCAAAGCATTTACAACAGTCAGCAGGAAACTCAATACGCTTTTGCCTGTGCACTCTGGAGCTGGTGTAACTTTTCCATTAACTTAAACAAATGCTGCTGTATTTTTAGACCATGTAATTACCCTACATCAGCAGGCTGGCCCTTGTGAAAGTACACTGGAGAAAGATTCGAGCCCTATGTTTCGCTGCTTATAAAACTCTGAAACCCAAGCCCTCGGATGTGGTGATTAATGAAATGCCTCTTGATCATTTGATCTGATCCCACTTGCTGAGGTAAATTGTTTTAGTTTTCCATTGGCATAGATAGGATTTTTTGGTATAATGACTGGAGGCTAAAGACTTCACACTTGAAAAGACATACCACTCTGTGTTAATGGATGACCACTGAGAATTGGAACATGTTTTAACCTTCTTCATTCCTCCCTCTAAGATAAAAGACTAAGGAGATATTTTTGTTATGTCCAAAGAAAGTTCCTTGCTTGAAATGCTGTACGAACATCCTGGTAATAGCATGAGCTCTATAATTCTGCTGCTCAAAAACCTCAACAGCTCCGTGATTACAAGCATTTGTCAAGAGGCAACAGGCATTTGGCAATGACAAAATCTGTCATTTTTTCTGAAGTTGGAGTGTGCCAGTCAACAGCTGCATTAGGCTGTCAGCATAATGCACCGCAAAACATCGGCAGATTCACAATGCCACCATTAACACTTTAATTCAGTGTTTTGATAACAAGAAGCTCCACAAGGCATACAGTTGGCCTCTGCTGTCATAGCAGTCAGTGTCTGCTTCAGATTTGTCTGTGCTGAGATTCAGTGTGGTCACTGTAAAACATGGCCAGGCCATGCTTCATTTGTTACAATATTTCATTTTCTTTCTTTGCTTGTAAAACAAATTTCGGTTTCAGAGAATGAAAAACTGATTTTAAAAAATGGTACTGCCAAGAATACCTATTAAAATACTTCTGCTAGCCCAATAAACGCATTACGAATTTGAAATTACAGCACAATAAAAAGCTTTAGAATATAAAAATAAACACTTGTAGTGATTTTGGAATTTTATATACCACAAAAAGGCCAGTGGTTTCAGCAAGTAGCAGTTGTTGCTGAAGTTCATAAATAAAGTCATATGAATGCATTTGATGTATCTAATGTATCAAGACAAGCAGACAGTAAAGCAAATGGTGGTTTCATGAATAATCTGCTTTGCTTTATTTATTTTATAGGCCAGTATAACTTCTTGCGTCTTGTTCTTGACCTGTAAGGCCAGCTTCATTTCAGCGCATGGTTCCCAAGTGCTTAAGATTATGTGAGAACAGTTATTATTTCTTTTCCTTACTGATCTAAAAAAGCTTGATTTATTAGTGATTTTTTTAATGTGTGTTTTTTGTCATCAGTTGTTGTTAGAAGCAACTTCTGGATCCAGCTCCTACAAAGGGTCCTAAGAATATCTCCTACATTTTTGATCCTTCAGCCTCAGTGGAATGGGACTACTATTACAGGAATGGGAATCTCTCAAGTAGGTAGAAACACTCTCATAGCAGTCTATGCTGTGTATTCAAGAGCTGTAGCTGTCCAAGAAACAGACATCTAGATCCTCAAGAAGAGGCATATATCTCCACTTAGATAGCACTAGGGGATAACATCTCAAAAGGCAGAGCCTCTTTGAGTGGCTACATGGATAAAGGTCAAGGTGTTTGAGAAGTGTAATCTACAGCACTGGATGGCATGACCTCTGAGGAGGCCACAAAGCTTGCAACAAGAACGTACAGAAAACTCTCTCTTGGCGGTAATCAGGGGGAAAGGAGAAAACATCATCCACAGACCTTAGCTTTTAGAGATGCATTCAGTTCTTTTGTATTCCCTTTGTGAATCTGTTATTCATCAACATGAATTTTCTACTTCTTAAGAATTTCCTCATGACCTACAAAGCAAGTATTGCCCAGAAACTATACACTAGGCTATGGTATTTCCAAAACTAGTTGGCAAATATAGCAAAGTTTTGTGTTAAGCTATTTAATGGCTTTTGACAAGAAAACAGAATCTCATCCTAACTACAAAGCTCAGGGAAGATTTTAAGCCTGCATGCCATAGATTACTCACAGCTCCCAGTGATGTAGGGGAGAAGTAAGCGATCTCATCACCTCTGAAAATATCAATACCATTTAGCCTGTATTTTCACAGGGAGCAAATTGCTGTTCATCAAATACAACTTTAATTACCTACCTACAAGTTTAAAAAGGGTCGACAGTCTGAACTCCTCTGAATGATGGTACTTCAAAAGCGCAACTGAAGAGGCTGAAATGTGGATGAAGTATCCTGGTTTTGCAAATGACTCAAAGGAACAGTATCCTGAAAGCCATGTATTCTTGTGAATGACATATGTAGATCTGTTGTGAAACTCTTCGCTTTTTTCCCATTTAGAAAGAACAAGACTATTATTGGAGTTCAACTGAAGAAAATAGTTTGGTCTCTCAGCTGTTTCAAATGAAATCAAGCTGGAATCTGAAAAAAACACACAGAACTCATTTGCTTGCTGATATATGCATAGTTAACTAAACTCATTCTGATGTACCACTACTGATATTAGCAGCATGAGCAATGAAAACTGACTTTGGCCTTAACAGTGAAAATAGCCTGAATCTTGTAAGAAAATATACTGTATATGGATTTCAGAGTGCTAGATTCCGATTTAGTTTTCTAAATATCCTACAGATTTCAATAGGAATACAAGCATTTGCCCACACCAGGATAAAGGAATATAGCCCTGCAGTCAAGCAGAACTTCAGTTTACAGCCTTCACTAAGCCATTTAGTTAATGAAAATTTAAACTTCATCTAACTAGTTTTACAAGTAACATTTGCCATCAGGAACTGATGTCTTAAGAGCTCAGCCTTTCACTGAAAATAATTTACAAAAATGTATTTTGCATTCAGCTTACAGCTTTAAGTCTTAATTTCCAAGCGGTCAGCTTCCCCTAAGAATGTTAACAGCAAAGTCTGTTTTCTGGCAAATGTACCCACATGATACCTTACCCTGAAAACAGTACTGTTGGTTTCAAGCAAGGCTCTGTACAACCAATTGCAGAGTGGCAGATCTTGAGCCTGTTACAGGCATCTGTTGCTCACAGAATTACTTCATTCTACTTCGCTGTACACTCTGCTATTCTCTTGAAAACAGCCATTAAACTACTGTAAAATCAACTAACCCTCCAGGCCTGGGTAGCATTTCTTGAAAAAAAGAATGCATAGAAAACAAATGATCCCTGTTAAACAGATAGGCTATCACATTCTGGTATAACACTTCTAGAAGACCAACTTGTTTTCTGAGCATAAAAAGTGCAATTAATGTGAAAAACATAGTGGCACTTATGAATATCTTTTTATTAATTCTCTGTAGCAAGTAGCTTATTTGATAAGCAACAACGGAGAGTCAGTGTGATTTATAATACCTACCATATAGCCAATCAGTACATCAATGCCCAAAGCTTTCCATTGTCTATGATTTGTCTGAAACTGATGAAACATACCCATTTTTCTGAGGTACCAAAGAACCAAGAAAGCAGATATATAAAAGACGACATGGATATGAAAAATATCGTATTGATTGTATAAACTCTTCCACGGCCAAACGATGAAATGCCATTCACTCAAATTGGACTATAAGGCACAAATTCCATTTGCCAGGTTAAATTCTGAGCAAGAGATTTTTATATGGGAATAGAACAGTAGGACTGACCTTCCCTTTCCAAACCTAAATTGAACGCAATGTACAAGTGTCTCAAAACTATGACTAACAAAAGAAATCTGGCCCTGGATATTCTGTTACATGAGTTCTTGTGTCAGTTCTACAGACAGCAGTATTACTAATCAAATGCTTGTCATTTTTTCAACTGATCCATATCCCTTCTTTGATTACACAAAGACAGCCACCTTCAGGCTGTCCAAAGAGCTGATCAGGGGACACTGGGCAGTAAAACTGTATTGAGACTCAAGTGCTCTGCAGGCATTAAAATTGCCTATGTGGACAACTCTAGCATTTAATCAATGTCACAAAGTGCTGAATATATTCTTGTAAGCTTTCTCCACCTGTCTGAAGGTGTGCAAGACTTCTTTCATCTGCTGAATAAGCAACACATTCCTTCAGTGGAAACTTTAGTTGGGACCTGAAGGAGACAAATTTGCAGTATACACCCTTACACAGCTCAGGTTAGTGCCAATGGGCATCTCTGTACAAGTAGGCCAACAATGAGCAATAGTGGCAAAGCAAGTGAATTAGGGAGTAATTTTCTTGTATCATTTCTCTCCCATTCTTTCCCATGTGCCCGTTCTGCCAGAGGAAAGGTGAAGGGAGCAATGCATATCTGGAGCACTGGGCTACAATGGGGCTTTGGTGCTTCTGAAGGTTGGGGTGGGGGCGGCTGTTGCTTTTCAACTAGAAGTATCTGTTTATAAAGCTACAATCATCTACACACATCAGTGTGTTATAATATTATTCTCGTACTAAATCCAAAACACAGCACGATACCAGCTACTAGGAAGAAAATTAACTCTATCCCAGCTGAAACCAGGACATCTAATTAAAACCAACCAAATTAAAATTTTGGCAGACAACATTAAGATGCACAATCAGCTGACAGATAAAGAAAATATTTTTTGACCCAGATCTATTCTTAAACATAGGCTTGTATTCAAGGGCAGAATTTGCTCTGCCTTATTTAAGCCTCTAGGTTACACCGACTTTACCATGTGCTTTGAGTTTATAAAGTCCTGAAGTCAGCATAAAGCTCACTGCATGTCCAGGAACAATATCTTCTTCTCTCACTGGGAAAACAACACCATCCACCAGTTTCACTGCCATTACGAATCCTCCATCCAAATAGCTGACCAGTTTGTATGGGCCCTTTCCCAGAGCTGTTGGAAACAAAAATCAGAATTACCTTTCATGTCAAGTGTCACAAATGCTTGAGCTCTAAATATTATGATACAGCACATAAATAAAAACACCTCTCTCCACTCTGAAAACAGCTTTAGGTGCCATGCACTAAACTATAAGTTTATAAGACAACCAAAACAAAACCAAACTCTTTTAGAAAATACCTCTCCTGAAAAGTGTCCAAAATACCTAGTTTCAATTTTCGAGATTCATGATTAGCTTCTCCTTTTCCTCCCTCTCATCCACTTTGGTTTCATAGTCACTTTATTAAAGTTAGCTGACTCCTTGGTTATTTGGTTTAGAAGTAGTGTTCTACAGGCCACCCTGGGATCCCTCTAAATTGTTTATTTGTATGGTTGAACTGATTATACTCTTCTTACTATTCTTTAAAACCTATTTTATTAGTGTCCAAAGTGTGAGGCATTTTGCAGGGAATAAAAGTTTGTTCTCATCAAGTATCGAAGAACTCCTTGAACAGTGTAGATACAAACGTAACCACTGGGAAGTGAGACAGGAAGAAATCAGCATCATAAGCAAAAGAATGGTCCTATTTTACCTAAAAGTAAAAAAAGCCAAAAGCATGTGAAGTTATCATTTCACAAATCTTACAACGTCACACCTCCTCACTTAGTTCCAATTTCACTGCAGAAAAGTATTTTAAAGTTTATTTTTAAATGTTATTTGAAATTATTTTTTGTAAATTTCTCTGTTAAAACCAGGCATTTTAGACCACACTTGAGCAATTCGCCTCACTACCATTTTACCCACAAGCCAGGACATGGCAAGCATACATCTACGATAGAAGCGTCCCAGAACTTCTCGGCTGATAGTTACAGCTAATACCATTGACCCTTAAAATCTGTTCCAACAGGCTAAAAGTTTGGACTGTAATTTGCAGCCTGCCCTCATATTCTGGTTCTCTCTAATCTTAAAATTTATCAAGAGATTTGAAATCCTAAGGAGGCTGCACTACAACCAGCATTTCAGATTCTAATAGCATAAATAGGTGGCCAGTTAGGACACAAGCCCATGCGTAGCTAAACATGTACAGTGCTACCTCGTTACCTTCAGTGCAGGGAGTTGAAAAACATTTTTTAAATTACTTGAAACATCTAGTCTTCTGGAAATGTTATTATATGTTTAAGTCTCATATCTCAGGCCCATCCAAAACTTGAGAAACCACAGCTACCAGCTGAAAATTTCCCCTTACCAAAGACAAAAGGTTTCTGTTCCTGCTTCTAGTAGGACTGGAACTATTTCACTCTGGATCCATGACAAAGGTACATAGAGAAAACCTCTCTCTGGTCTAAGGCAGTTTCTTAACCTTCCTTTCTCCAAAACTAAGTAATTCTGAGGAATGCTACTATATTTCAGGTAGAGAAGAAAATCTTCAGCATAGAGATGATTTTTTTTTTCCCCATTGGCAGCTCTGAAACATCCTATGTCAAATACTGATGAGCTGGATTAGCAAAGAGTAGGAAGACAGGAAGTGAAAACCTACGATAACCATGTTTATTACAAGCTGGTCACATGCACAACTCTCCACTATTTCAACTAATTTCTGCCAGTGAGAATTCAGTAACAAGTAAAACTAATAACACACTTTAAAATGTACGTTATCATCTAACTTAACTTCGCTGCTACCACAGATGCTACAGGCAGTGCACTTTCGATCTGTTACAACTGCAAAAAGATTATCGCAGAAATAGACTGTATTTCATTTATAAAACAAAACAAACCAAAAAGGAAATGTAAAACTGCAATCACCTCTTAGATTCAACTTGCCTTTGTTTAAGTTAAAGGCTTAAATAGTGATTTAGATAAAATTCCACTGCATTAGCAATTTGATCCCACTCAAAATCTTTTCAGTAGTCAGTATATCAGAAAATGTAAATTTCTTGGCCATATTGTTTGGGCCTGGCATGTTGCACAAGTCTTCTAATTTAAACTCAGTCCCTCTCCAAGATCTTTCTGGGGGTGAGCTGCTGCAATATGGAGTCTAACAGAAGACCAAAATATCATGAAACATCTGGACAGACAGGCTTCTACGCGAGCTTGATAAAAAGAGTTATAGAATAAATAGCAGGAGTCCTGACCATTCCTCACATCAGGCTGGCTTGCAGTGCTTGTATGTATACCACGTCTAACTATGCAGACACTCGCAATGTAACTTTAAAATAGTCTGAATATGGATTCCAGTTTTAACACAGCGGTACAGCACCCAGTGCAGATTCAAGGTTTACTCTACCACCTTGTAGAAGTTTTGCAGCCCTCTCTCATAGTCATTCTAATGCAGCAGCAATGCCTGTTGCTCAGGAACTTAAAGCTAGGTCAGACATACCTAAATGGAGAGTTATTCCCCCTTTGGGCACAAAAAGTTGAAATATCTTAATAGCTAGCTCCCTGTGGAGGCTGCACAGGAGGTCATGATTGGTTTAACAGACCCCCTGGGTATCAGTTTTGAACTGCAGTATGCCTTAAGCAAGTAGTACCACTAGTACTATTGGGTTAAATAGTCTATTAATTACTTAATTATTTAAATTGTTCAATCATGATCCAGAAATGCAAATAAAATGAGTTTAACATGTATTTTTGGGAAAGGCCCAGGAATAAAAAGAGATTATGAAATTAAAACCCTTTGAAAAAGCAAAATAAACCAGTAAAACAGAATCCTGGCTATTTAATATAATAATTTGCAACTGTTTTCATTAACAATTATTTTTATACAAAGTACTAAGACTTACATAAAGAAACCAAAGATTCTATTGACATTTTATCAGCTCCTTTAGGACTCACCTTTGTTGAAATATTCACAATCATAAGCTAGAAAATAAAAAGAAAAGAAATGCAGTTGCAGGTATTCTGCAGATAAACAGGTTTTCTATTACCCTTTACGATTAATACGTAAGCCAAATGCTTGTCCAAGTTAGATCATACACAAACATTTATTAAAAAAAATATTGCCAAATATTTACTTTACTGCTTTAAATAAAATACTAATTTAAACTACACTGAATTAATTAAAATACTGTTTTCTAGCAGGAAATACTAAGCTTACATACCTACAGCTGTCTTTTTGTGACCTCTAGTGGTTAAGACTAAGCTTTGCTGTTGTTCCATGCTCACATTAAAACACACCTACTATTTCTATCAAGAATTGAGAGTAACCCTCTCGCTCTATGGCTAATTTGCTGTGTGACTTTGAGCAAGCTGCATACTCTCTCTGTGCAACTGCAAAGTTAGAAAAATGCTTGTTTCCTTCTATTCTTTCTGTCTTGCCCTTTTTTATCTCATCTTTGGGGAAATGACTGTCTCCTGTTACGCATTTGCACCAGGTGCCATAGAAGAAGGCCTCAGATTTTTTTACAACTTCTAAGCATTGTTGAATAGGGACACTAAAGTAATGACAAAGTCCTGCTTAAAAACCTACTTGCTTTTCTTCAGAAGACCTTTGTATTTCACACTTGCTCTGGGGGCAATAGTGAGGCAGCTATGTTTCCTAGACCCTGTTAAGAAGTGAAGTCCTCCTGAAGATGGAAATTACTTGAGCTGTTAACTTTGTAACTTTGGAGTGAGGGACACATGCCATATCCTAATATAGACTTCCTATAACTTCTCCTTTCACATTGCAGGACAAGGAATTAAAGAGAGAAGAGTACCACCCACAAATATGGGAAGAAGCATGTAATCCAGCTAGACCAAAATGAACACGGGGGGGGGGGGGGGGCGGA